CAACTCCCCCCCCCCCCCGATATGTTTTTGTGACCCCCCAACATTCAAGCAGCAGTGGTGTCCTTTTATATTTATGTGCACTAGTGTTGGATCCTGATATTATATACGATACAATTCCTGGTTGGTTCATATTCTCCACCATCAATATTCATTACTTTGTTGGTCCGTATGTTTTCTGGAGAATTTTTCTCTCCCATCTGTTTAATAATTTTCTGCCGTTTTTTAGGGACAAAGTTTCAAGTGCGCCTGCTACAACTGGTCTGATTACAGTTTTATATAGGCCTATAGTTTTCTTTGTGGTGTTTTTACTTTTTAGTATTTTCTGACTACTGAAGTATGCCCCGTTTCCAGTGGACATTATTTCTTTTTTTTTTTCTTTTAGTAATTCTTTCGTTTAATAATTTCTTTCGTTTCGTGATTTTGAATTGATTTACTTTTTTAAAAGTGTGTTGTTGGTTTTTTTTTAAATTAAATTTTAATTGTTTCATCTGTATATTCCTCTCTTACATGAACATAGTCATGTATTTCTTTATTATTATTATTATTTTGTGTTGTTGTTTTTAATTTCCAGCCCTGCTTATAGTGATGCATCTTCTAATTCAATAAACATCTTTTGCAATATCGTAATTATTTTCCCATGTCTTCAGCATATGCAAGATACTTAAGGAGTTGATTGTAGAGAGTGCCTATTGGTTGTGGACCTTGTGTTTCCCTCAGAAAGCATCATGTTATTGGTCTTCGGGTGTTGATATGTATGCTTCTTATAACTCTCTCTCTCTCTCTATTGTTAGGTTCGTAGCATTATACAAGACAGTGAGTCTCCTTGACCTAGGTCTCGTCTAATCTGAAGTTCCCTTGATTATTCACCCAAACTTTGATTTTCGTTTTTGAGTTATTGGGTAAGCTACACTCCTGCAGAGTCTCATATAGATATTTTCTTTTGATGCTTTCCTAACATTTCTCTATAGGCATCCGATGGTGAAAAACTGACAAGTCATTGATCTGTTTTCTCTGAATCCACATTGATAGTCACCTAGTATTTGTTCACATTGGTAGTCACCTAGTATTTGTTCACATTGATAGTCACCTATAGTATTTGTTCACATTGGTAGTCACCTAGTATTTGTTCGGTGTACGGTTGTAGTGTTTTGGCAGTTAGTTTTGTCCGTATTTTGTATGTCATATTTAATAGGGAAATTCGTCTGTAGTTTGTACATTGAAGTTTGGAACCTTTCATGTGTATTGGGGTTATTAGTGCTGTTTACCATTCTGTTGGAATTGCTCTGCTTGCTAAATTTTAGTTATACATTTATTTGTCCGAGTATGTAATTCTCTTCCTCCATAATTAATAAGTTCTGCCGTGATGAGGTCTTCTCCAAGGGCTTTGTTTTTCATAGAACTTATTACTTCTGTATTTTCTTCCAAAGTTGGGGAGTTTATTAAAGGGTGTGGTCCTCCATGTGGCGTTTGATCATCTTTATCTTTTCCGTTGTCTGTCTTTAGTATTCCCTCAAAATATTCAGCCTACCTCTGCAGTACTTAACTATTTTCCCTAATTAATTCTCCATCATGGCTCTCACACATTTGAGGTCTGACTTGGTATCCATATGTACTTTCCTCCGATGTTTCCTTTTCTTGATAAGTCTTCAATATCTTTTAGTTTGGCTTTTTCCTATTCTTTTTTCCTCCCTACACATTTTGGTTGCTTTCCTTCCGACTTCATTGAATATTTGTCCCGTATTTCTGGTTTCTCTGTCTCATTCGCGCCTTATTCTTTGTCTTCGACATTCTGTCTGCATTCATTCTCAAACCAACCTACTTTGCTGTTAGATTGCTGAAATCCTACTACCTTTTCTGATGATCTTTTCATAGCATTTTTATCCGATCACTTGGATCCCATTGTCATTGGATTCTTCATAAATACTCTTCTTGCCAATAGTTGGTATAAACCCTCCCCCCTGTTTGCCATTAAAGTTGCCCATCACTATTTTAATATCATGTCGTGGTGCCTCATCATAGATTTTTTCCAGAGTCTCATGAAAGGATTCTTTTATTCGAACTTCTGTATCTTTGGTGGGAGCATTTATAAATGTTATAATAAACATTTTCCCTCGTACACGCAAAGAGCACAGTCGTTGATTCTCTGGTTTAAAACCTATAATTGAACGTGGGCTTCTTTCTTCATAGCAAATCCTGTTCCAAGAGTGTTAGTGTTAATATTTTTATTTTTTGCTGTCACTATAAAATATGATGCAGTTTTTTTTTTCTTCAGGATGTCTGCATTTTCCCATCGAATTTCTTGCAATGCAGTTATGGAGATTTTATATTTAATTAATTGATCTAATAGGTTGGCTAAGGCTCATGCTCTTAGTATTTTTTTTTTATTGTTGCCACTATAAAATATGATGTAGCTTTTTTTCTTGAGGATGTCTGCATTTTCCCATCGAATTTCTTGCAATGCAGTAATGGAGACTTTATATTTAATTAGTTGATCTATTAGGTTGGCTAAGGCTCATGCTCAAAACAAGCTTAATATTAATAGTATTAATAGTACGTTACATATCGCAATCCAAAAATCATGTCCATATGCAAGCATAGGTCATTAGAATCAGTTCGGGTTTTATTTTATTGTTTGGCTTTTGTAACATTTATTGTTTGTTAGCCCTGCGCACAACCGTCTGGATGGTGTGAGGGGGGGGGGGGGCTCTGCCACTTACAGCTCTCTAGGGGGCCGTCCATAAAGTACGTCACGCTCTAGAGGGGGGGAGGGGGTGTAAGAAAGTGTGACAGTTTGTGACAAGGGGGAAGGGGCGTCAGGCCATGTGCGACGTCACACATTTATTTTTAAATAAATTTATTTCTAATTTTTTATTTTTTTTAGTAGAATTTAGTAGAATTTAATAGTTTTAAAAATAATTTTCAAAAATTGTGTGAAACATTTGAATTAGTTTTATGTCAAAATAGTATGAAATGCGTATCTCCTGAATGTGTTGTTCACGATTCCTCTCGCTAGGAGCGCTAGTATACTGTTGCGAGGCCTTGTTTTATGTATAGCCTTTCCGAGATCAACAGGAGTTTTCAAAGTACAACTAATATGATCTTTATTGTCCATCTTTGCAGACCAGCTTACTTGATCGAATTTGCAAAGTATGTCACTTATAATTTGCCTCACAAACAATGTCGAAGAAACATACAGGACAACACAGAGCTCGGGCTTGGGAGCATGTACCAACCCAAACTGTTCCAGAATCAACTCGCAGATAAAACGCATCAGACCTTTGAGAATTGCTGCTAGGAGGCAAAGAGAATTCATGGCAGTTATTGCCAGAAGAGAAAATGCACATTCAGAGGATTTTGAGTGGCTATATGAGGATAAAGTTTATCTGTCTGCAATTATCCTTCCAGGAAACGATGATGGTGAAAAATTGATGCCAGTCGTAACCAGTGCTCTTTTTGTGCCGGTACGCACCGGTACGGCGTACCGGCACCTTTTTCAATGTGGGGGGAAAAAATATTACTTTTCTTGTATTTTAACGTTTATTATTAATTTATTATATTATTAATTTGTTAAAATTGAATTATTTTAAAATTGCATCTTTGCAGTTGTGATTTAGCTTCCATCGAGGTGCGAACTGGTAGTTAAAGTTAGGCAATCCATCACTGAGTACCGGCACCTTTTTTTTTTTTTTTACAAAAAAGCACTGGTCGTAACTATGGATGACACTTCACTTCACCATGAATAGATGATGTCCAGTGAACATTTTTAAATTAAACATAATTCACAGGTCCATAATAAACAGATTCAATATAGCACAAGAGTTTGTCACATAATTTGTCAATCTAGTCTTTTTTTAGCCCAAATTGTTTTGTTTCCTTTTTATTATTTAATCACTTGGTGAGGTCAAGTTTCGCTAATTTACTTCTTATCCTGTGTAAAAAGATTGCATAATCGGAAATTATCTAAAACTTGACCTCACCTTTTGTAAAGGAAAAAGCAGCAGATAAATGAGGTGTATTATATAATTTTCTAGTCTAATTTTTGCAATTTTTGTTTTCAAATTCAATCTAGATTGAGTTACTGCATCAATGAATAACTGTGACGACCGTTGACAATTAACTATTCTACTATTAAAGTCACTTTTAATAATGTGCTAGTTCTTTTCAGTGGAAATTTTATATTTTAATACATTTTAATAGTAACGTGTGTTTTAGATTAAATTTTAATTAGGTGTTAATTTACAAAAAAATTTGTTCAAAAGTGTGACGTACTTGGCAGTGCAGTAACTTGGGGGGGGGGGGGGGGGG